CTTGTCAGAAAAACAATTATTCATTTTTATTTTTCTGCGATTTGCCATTTCAAATAACAATTAATTACATCACAGGCACCTTCCAGGTATGTTTAAAAAAAATATATAGTGAAAATAAACTATATTATTATTAGGTTTACCCAAGAGAGTCCCCGTGCTCCCCTTCTGAAATCTTTCTTCAATGCAAAAGTCCGAAGGCTCTGACTGTAAGAGCATTTGTTCCTTCCTCAGACTATCTTTAGTGTTTCTTTTGTACTGTATTGTAACCTTTTAACAAGATGGTCAAACAACCTTCCTTTGATTCAGAGCAAGGATTGGCAACCCTGGTCACATGACAAAATGGGCTGTCAGCTCCAGAGGCTGTCAATTACTTAACCTGATATACTTTTCTGAATGATCCACGCAAATAATTAAACTGCTGCGCAAAGAGTGGTAGTCCCTCTTTCGAACAATCAGGAACAAACTGCCCAGCACTAAATTGAAATAAATAAATACAATATTAGAAAAGTCCTTTAAAAATTCCTAAAACTATTCAGTGATCCAAATTATGCCACAAATCACTCAACCAACTTGTGCAAAAGTCCCAGTAAGTTTGTGCAAATGATACAAACAGAGCAAGTGGGTGGATACACGCTGAGTTCATCTACTAGACACCAGGAAGAGAAGGATTGCTCTGTGCGAGTGGCTGAACAAACATTTGCTATAGGAGTACTATTGGATCCTATGTAAACCCGCTGGCAGTGGCTCTAGGAAGGCATGTATTGTTACAAGCAATTGCTACAGAAACGTTTGTGAGTGTTTTTAATCTTTTGAAATAAATAAATTGGTTTTATGGTATTATGCTACGGATGTTTTTTAATACTTTTCCATGAGCATTGGTGAATGGAGAAAAGGAGGTGAAGGGGAATACTGACGGTTTAACATCCTAGCAGATGGCTGGATGGATTGTTATCTAACTGAGTGCTGTAAGACCATTTCTATCTGAATGGTCCACCTCAGCTGGTGAGTGCAGTCTGTGGCCCCACACCAATGGGAAGAGTGATCACCTGATTGCACCGTTTGCACAAATTTTGTGGGGATACTTGCACTTGTTGCATTGTATGCACAAATTTACTGGGACTTTTGCACAAATTGGTTGAGAGATTTATGGCATAGTTTGGATCACTGAATACATTTATGAACTTTTAATGGACTTTTTTAATATTTTATTTATTTATTTTTATTTATCTATTTATTATTATTTAAATATAGTGCTGGGCAGCCCGTTCATAATTCCTTAACTTGGTCCACCCACCTCCCTGACATAAGTGAAAGTAGGATGGCAGCTGAGAGTATCAGCACACTGTGCTGAGAATGCCCACCCACTTGCCTGCACACACACACGCCCGCCCTGCCACCCACCCACATGCATAATAGCCAGCTATCCAGGAAACCTGCATGCCCAACAGCAAGCCTGCCTGCCCGTCCGCATGCATACCAGCCAGCCAGGAAGCCTGCACAAAGATGTACTCTCATCTTAATTGTTTTGCAATTAGCATTATCATTGGTCCATCCAAAGGTGGGCAGTGTGTAAAAGCTACACTGACATTAATCCTAAGTGACATTAATCCTAAGTGCAGCATAAATCCCCTGATGGATTTATGCTGCATTGACACCGATCCTGTTATTTTTTTTGATGCACTGCCACCAATCCTGCGTGTATCATGCTGCACTGCCACCCATACTGGGGGTATTTTGCTGCACTGAAACCAACCCTGGGCGTTTTATTGTGTCTGTTTGACTGTTATGTGTTATTGCTGAAATTAAGCAATATACTGTGAGTACAAGACCTATAGCATATGTGTGTGGTGTATATGTGAGTAGGCTCAGACTCTATTAAGCCATGCTGAAAATTCACCATAATTTTGCCATGCCCACTTTTTTGCAATAGAGTATGTCCTCATCTCCCCCAGGTGTCCCTCCTTCTAAAGTTCCGAAGCTCGGAAGCATGGTGGGTGTCTGGAAGGTTGTGGGGCCCCTCTGGTCCTTAACATTTTTACAAACATTTTTTGGCACACTAGACTCAAAAGATTGCCTACTCCGAATTGATTGCCATGGCACACCAATTTTAGGTCATATCTATGGTTCTAATATGATATAATAACATGCTAGTATGATGGGAACATACTGCGTCTACTGTACATTGTATCATCATGCAGCTTGCTCTTAGTTTTAAACAAAGAGAGCACTGTTATGATAAAAAATAACTAACATTGCTCATTTAATGATTGCAATTGATGATAGGTCCCATGACCAATCCCGCTAGCTATTTTACCTCTATATGTCAGCCAGCTTCTAAAAAACTGTCAGATGATAGTGGGCCACACATGGGCATTGAACGACTCTTCTATATACTTTAAAAATGCGTAGGCATGTTGGAAGTAATAATATTTTTTTCTATAAACAATGATAAGAAAATGTAGTGGTAAAGCATGTACATGAGCAAGAAGTTGTAGAATGAAAGAGCTTGTTTTCTAGCCTTTATAAATAAACAAGTAAAGATTGAATGTATTTGGTAAGGAATTAGTAAAGTTTATTAAAGTACATATTATTAACAGAACTGACTCATTTTTTAAAATATCTTCCACAGCCTTTCATTTAAAAAAAATAAAAATACTTCCTCAGGTTTGTTTAATTTGTGATTTACAATTTGCTGAATCTTGTTATGATAAATTTACCGTCACAAGCAGAAGCACCCCATAAACGCACCAGATGCATCCCTTGGGGACCACCGCTAGCTGAGGGCCTGTGATGAAGCTTAAATGCCATTATATTTGTATGTTTTTCTTACCAACACAGGTCATTTTCATGATATCCAGGTGGTATCCATCAAAGCAATCGCATGTGTATCCTTCCTGTACTCGTACACATCTACCATTTTCACATCCGTTCAAGATGCCACACTCCTCCGCCTGTAGCTCCTCATACTGCCCACCTCCCAAACCTGCAAAGATAATATATAAGACTCACTCTAAATTCAATTGTTCTGAGAATGCTAAAGAAATAAGAATTAAAAATGTAGAGAGAACATTGCTGATAGTATATGTTTATTACCATTAACCTGTACACCAGTAATTCTCAATACTTTATACACATAACGCTTTTATATATGTTATATATATTACGTTGTGCATTACAAACCATCAAATAATACAGTTTACAGCAAATGTATGGTGACATTTTTTTGTTTGTAGCTTGTTATGTTGAAAATTCGGAAAGTAGCAGCACCGTTTTAAGTGGTTTAAAATGCAAATGAACATAAAACAGAACTCCTGCACACCATAATAAATAAACTATATAAAAAACAAGCATTTAAACAGAATCATATTCAAGTCAGTGTAACTCTATATTTTTACTATAAAAAGTATATAAAAAACATTCCAAGTATATAAAATTGTGCAAAACAATGTGACATAGGACACTATAGATCAATATTTTCATCTAAGAAGAGCAGCCACACTTATCGTGAAAGCTCTATATATTACACTCAAAAGCAAAACAGTTGTAAGCAAAGGCAAAAGAGGAGATGTTAGGTGCAAAACTGAGCCAACTGGTATCTAAGAAATAGATAAATGGGCTAATCTAGTGAATCATATCATCAAAACATGGTTCATTTCTGAATTTGCAAGATATGGTACCTCCATGACCCAGAATTTACATCTTCAATAAAAATAAATAGTGTGACACATTTGGCCACGAGCGTACTTATACTGGAAAAATGTAACCATTATCACATATATTAATAGCAAGGACTAAATGCAATGTGATCATTGTTCATCAAACATTTCCTGGGATAAAACACCAATTTATGGCACAGTCCCAAATTAACAGTTGCCACACCGTTAGGCCGCATTCAAACCTACGAGTTAGCGTTTTTGTGCATATTAGCGTGCATTTTCATCTAGCTTGCTTTCGCACATTGTGCAACATTTTTGCATGTGTTAGACACACACATGAAGATGCGCATTTTAGCTGACAGATTAAGAAATATTGCGATCAATGGACAAACGTGCACAAAACCGTGCACAGAAATGTCCATAACACCTGTGTTGCGTGTTTACAGGTGTTTCCATTGAAGTCTATGGAGACAAACGCGCTGTAATCTGCCAAAAAGACGCTCATGTACCCTTTCTAGTGTTCGGTGTTTAGCAGCTTGCGACAAAACGCTCAGGTGTGAATAAGGGGCATTAAAATGAATGTGATTTCTTGTGTTGAGAGTTTTGTTGCGCTTATCTTTGAGTGTCAAAACGCCTAGATGTGAACAGGGCCTTAATTTTATGATATTAATAGGGTTATTCACTAAACAGCCGAAGGATCCAGCCGTAGCTTCAGCTGATCCTTTGACTCTCTTCAGCCGCGGAAGCCCTTCAGTTCAGTCAAACCAAAGGGCTGCTGTACGGGCTATTCACTATAGCCCAAACAGTAGCCGAAGGCGACCGAGCGGCTCAGCTGAGTCGAAGGCATATGCTTCGGCTCGACTGAGCGGAGGTGACAGCCAAAGCAGGGTGAACGGCCTGCCGAAGACCGGCTGTTCGCCACGCAAATGACAGCTGGGCAGAGCCAGCCGAGATGTCCCGGCTGGCTCCGCCAAGTTGTAATGACAGATCAGCGCCCCTAAATTACCTGGGGATGCTGATCTGTCATTAAAAAATAACAACTGGGCAGAGCCGGCCGTGGCGTCACTCGGCCGGCTGTGACGTCACTCGGCCGGCCGTGAAGACTCTAGCAGGTGCCGGCCAATAGAAAACAGGTGGGTGGGGCTAGCTTTCACTGCTAGCTCCGCCCATTTGTTTGGTTTTTGTTTATTTTTCTTTACATTTTTTTAAATTCTTCCTGGTTTTTTTACAGTTTTAAAGTCATTTTGCAATTTCATTTTCACTGATTTTCTATTCTGCTCGGTACCACAGAGGTACCGAGCAGAATAGCCGAATATTCAGAATACAATAGCAGAATATTCACTCACTGCCATTCGGCCCCTATGAGAATAGGGCGAACGGCAGCGAGTGAGCTGCTGGAGTTTTGGCTCAGCCAATGCAGATGTTGCATCGGAACAGTCGAAGTCCTTCTGCACTTCGGCTCAGCCGAACATGCAGTGCATGTTCAGCTGACCGAAGGCAGCCGATGTACGGCCGAATTTAGGCGATGTACGGCTGAATTCAGCCATAAAAGGCTGAAGTAAATAGCCGAACAGCGCTCACTTCACTTTGGCTCGGTTATTCACTTGGCTGCATTCGGCAGCTTAGTGAATAACCCTGTAAGTACATTACTTTTAGTTCGCTGTTGTACTAAGTAAAATACGGTAGTCTCAACTTGTTTACCTGTATGAACTCAAATTAGAATACTGCACTAGACCTTTATCAATCAAGGGTGCAGTATAATACATAGAATCCTATGTATTTAACTGTTCAGGTACTAGCTATGGCTGTTTTTGAAGAGTGTAATAACCTGTGGAAAATATGATTTCAGGTTTTGGGGTTTAACAAGAAAGGTGAAACGACATATTACTTAGTGCAGTATAAAGCTAGACTGCAACTTCTAGTTTCACTGCTGGAGGATTCTGCTGCCAACAGTAAATTTAGCTGAAAAGCACACGTGTCATAAGTTACATCTGAACCCCAGCAAAGTTATACTTCCACAACTCCCCTGTCTGTATTGCGACACTGAATTCATGTCAAAGTCATTACACACTCCCCAAGGACAACCCCTTCCTGTAGACACATTTCATTCATGTGCCAGAATTATATTCCCATATGTTCCAGCTAAGCTAAACGTCTTACTTTATTGCGCTGTGGCTAGTGTAGAATCTTGCACCTCCTCTTTAAACATCAGGAAAAAGTCTATTCTCACAGCAAGAAGTAACAGTTCACATAGAAGACAATTTAACACGACTCCACATTATTGCAAATGCTGCAGTGAAAGACACGCAGGGGAGGTTGCAGATCTAGCATCTTATCTCCAAACATCAGTGAATTATTTATTATCCTGCCAAATCTGTGTTGCATATGATACATTCATAGCTACAGTACACCTGGCTCCCCTGCCTCATTTACCCTGGGTGGCAAGCATCACTATATTGTTGGGAGTGCACAAATATTAAAGAGTCTATTACATTGCTAATTTGCTGCATGTAAAAAAATAAAACTGATGGCTGGGGATCTTTATGTTCAATAAGGTACAACCCATTCTAATGTCCCCACTTCTTCTGATCTACACAGTCTTCCTCTCTGTGCCCCCCACCCACTCTCAAGCCACCTCTCTCCATTTTCTCCTCTGCACTTGTTCATCCATCTCTTCTGTGCTTACATACTATCTCTGCTCACACCTTCTTCAACATTTGTATTTGGATCCCTTTTGTGTTCATATTCTATTCCTACAGTGCATTTCACACTATTATCCTGTTTTGGGCATTACCTATAGTTCTTTTCCTTTCCCCCTACTATTTGTACTTAGCCTCAGCTCTCCTCCTACACTACACCAGCTTTCCAATCCCTGCTCCCCTGCTAACACAAGTCCATACCCTAAACCAGAGATTGACATCACTTCTGGAGAAGCTGCAAAGCAGAATTTTCTGGAAATGTTGTCTACAGACAATAACCCAGTGGGATCTGAAATGGTGCCCTTTCTACCTATCATAGGGCAGCTAGGCCATGCTAAAAAGGTGTTTCCTATAAAGAACAGGAGGAATCAATGTTCATCAAAATCTCAGGACACCTCTAGGGTTACTGCACATTGTTCAAACCTGTAATTTTTTTTTACTTTTTAAAATTATCACAGAGATATACAGTTAGATTGCTTTTCTGTTCATCTATGCCTCCTTAAGACCACAATCACAATACAAATTAGTAAACAAAACTTGAGACTGTAATCCATCACAGGAGCGAGCTTGGAGCAGTGGCTACTTTACAACATACACAGGGACCATAGGGAACAAAAGTAGACACCCTCCAGAAGGAAAGACAGTGTCAGCACCAATTCAGAGATGATTTGAGGATCTACAGCCGAGTGACACACAAAAAATATAAATTTTTGTTAATAGTTAAGGTACTTAAATGCATTTTTATAATTGAATTGCTGAGTTTAGTGTCACTTTAACTTTACATGTTCTATCATCTAATGTACAGACAGTTTTCACTAATGGCACATGACTGCAGCCAGTCTGTAACCAGCAAATAATGATAACATAGCTCATGCCTCTTCTCATTTACTTACGCTCCTGCAGGTTAAAAGGATCAGGCTGTGGCACATAGTGGTCTGAAAAGTGAAGGGCATCTTCCCCATAAGGCTGTCTAAACCTTGGCACTCGAAGGTTACATAGCTGTGCATAATCATCTGCATATAAAGAAGAAAAACAAAGTTATAACGTTGACCTAGATAGCAGGGACAAAAAGTTCAAGACCTAATAAAACCTCCATTATCTAGAACATAGCATCACTTGGCTTTGTAATGAAAAGGTGGGTAGAGAGTCATGACTGATTCAGACACAAGGGACAAAAATGTTTAGGATCTCTTAATAAAAAAAAATGATCTAGAACATAGTTGGCTTTGTAATGAAAGGGTGGGTGGAGAGTCTGAGCTGATATCTTTGTCAGCAAGTTGTCACAACTGTGCTGTATTTGAAATGCACTGTAAGAAGACACAATTATCAAACATGATAAAAGTAGAAAATGTTACAAACACTTTTTGATAGCGAGGATATTGAAATCTGTTAAATGTATGTTTATGTGCCTAAAAAAAGACCAGCACATTCTATTATGCAACCAGTATGTAAAAGATTTAAAATGAAAACAACTGGACTACTATTAATTACTCTTAATGGTTTACCACTCGTTCAAATGGCTTATTCAACTCATCTAATTGCAGGGAATTCCACAGCAATACACCCTCAAGAGTAGTCCATTTACCATAATCCAATTATCATAATAGTATTCAAAGATTTGGGCATCCCCCCAGAAAAGTGCCCTTTAAAAAGTGTCCCCTGTTCTTTAGGTGTAATGAATGTTGACCTACAATATGAAGTTTGTCCTCATGCGCTGGGCCATGGGTTTGTTGTTTTTCCCTATATAGTTCTGTGCAATCTTTACTCTTTTGGACTGCATATACCGCATTGCCTTGTTTATGCACTGGATCTTAAAGGAGAACTTTTCTCCGTAGTTCTCCTAAGGGTAACGGGAGGACACAAACTAGCGTCCTCCCGTGACCCAAAGCTCAGTATACCGCGAGTTACAGCTCGCGGTATACTGAGACGCCGCAGACGGGACGGATCCCGACATTACTGTCGAGATCCACCCAGCTGCGTGATTGACAGCTGGCTCTGCCTGTCTAGAGGCAGAGCCAGCTGTACCCGCCCTCTCCCCCGTCCGTTCCACTAGTCAGCGCTGGAGAATCAGACAGGGGAGGGGGGAATCCCTGCAGTGAGCCGTGAGTGACAGTCACGGCTCTCTGCAGGGATAGATCGAGAAGTGAGCGAGCGATGGTATGTGTTCGCTCACTTCCCGATCTATTGAGCCGACCTGTGACAGTTTCATTGTCACAGGTCGGCTAGAACTATGAGGCTGAGTGATTTTCACTCGCCTCATAGTTCTCCTTTAAATAAGCTGTTGCCTAAGTATGTTATGGTGTTTGAAAAACATGTGATGTTTGTTGACACTCGAGCCAAATATGGGATAATTATGTTATTCCAGCTGTTTTGCTTCTTCCTTCTGTCTATTGGTCTGGTGATTCATTCATTCTGGTTTGCCATAGGTTTTCAAAGCTTCTTTAAGGTGTTTATACTCCTTGGTCCCTGAACTTGGTGTTAGTTGTCACCATCCTGGCCCAAAATGAAAGGATTTAATTAGATGAATTGCCACTTAGAGGAGAGGTAACACTTTTCAAGAATAACCAAGCAAGTCTGGCGGTTTTCAATTTACTGCCACTGAATATCCCATGGCTTGGATGACTAAAAAAACCTTAGTACACAAACACAAGAAGCATCTGGAGAAATCAACCGCTACTTTTGTATTACACAGTGGAAGCATCTCTTTCGTCCAGGATTTACACTTTGAAGAGAAGTGAGTCACTATGGTAAGAAATATAAATAAAGAAGGAAATTTTGTGGCATCTGAAATCTAAGAGTTAAGTAGCAAACAAAAAAGATGGTAATTATGGCATTAACCACTGGCCACAAGTGAAAGATATACATTTAATGGTTGTCAGAGGTCAAACTTAACTATGAAAGTCAAGGTGATAGAATGTCTGCTTTTGCTCTCCTTAACTGCGCCAATAGTACATAATATAATACTATTCTACTACCTGGTTCCAATTTATGTAACCTGCTTCCTATATATATATGACCTATATATATACAGGTGAAACTCGAATAATTAGAATACCATGCAAAAGTAATGGCAGTAATTGCTGCAAAAGGGGCCCAAACCAAGTACTGAGTACATATGCATGCTTGTACTTTTCAGAGGTCCGATATTGTTCTATGTACAATCCTTGTTTTATTGATTGCATGTAATATTCTCATTTTCTGAGATTGTGGATTTGGGGTTCTTGGGGTTTTCATGAGCTGTGAGCCATAATCATCACAATTATGACAAATCACGGCTTGAATTATCTTGCTTTGCATGTAATGAGTCTATCTCATATATTAGTTTCACCTTTTAAGTTGCATTAGTGAAATAAATGAACTTTGCACGATATTCTAATTATTCGAGTTTCACCTGTATGACCACTTTAAACACTGCTGTTATTGAGGTAGTGCTGGTGATATTATAAATAGATTGCAATGTAACACTTTTAATGATGTACAAAGTACCACTAAAAGGTCATCTCTACTAGATAGCACTGCATATTCTACAGCGCCATTTGTAGGCTACACCTGGAAGACATTATTAATCACTGAATGCTGATGCTGCTTTGATGGATGGAAGTCATCACACTCTGCATGTTCTATCCTTAGATGAGGTCAGAATGTAGAGCAGTGTAGCTGTGCTCTAAAAAAGTGGAAAGAAAAAAAAGATGATCTGCCCAATGCTGTAACCACTGATAGCCAATCTGTTTATTGTGGTGAATGTAAAGTCTAATACAAATACAGTATTTACATGCATCCTATTATGGGCTCGGATGAAAGCAGGTAGGTGGCCTAGGATTAATGAAACCAGATTGGTTAACCTAACAAAACTGAAAAGTTTTTTTTTAGCAGAATAGAAGAGATGCATAATGCACATAATCCAGAGTGTTAACAAAAATACTAGATTATAGGAGCAGTTTTGCTGCCTATATTACCATGGACCTATACTCAAATGTTAACCTAATGCTATGTTAAAAGTATCACTGGGGTAGATATATACAGTAACAGAAAATGTAACAGAGGGGCTAAATCTTTCCTTTTCTAGAGAAAGTTATGCTACATTTTATCGTCAGACCAGGTGAGGGCTGTTAACCATGTTATTAGCATTTAAGTAACCCCGGAGGAACATTTTGTCACTCTATATTTATCCGGTATATGAATACTGTTGATTGGGGTTCCCTTTTAAGGGAAGTTGGTGCAAGGAATTTTTAGCAGAAAAAGATCTAGTGTGGCTTCTGTGCATGTAAACCTGATTTCTACATGTATAAAAAAGTTTCAAGAGCCATCTGTCAGAATCTTACTTCTCAGCATCAGTTGAACCCTTTCTGCTAACATGGGACACGCTTGCTGACAGAGCAAGGAGACAAGAAGGACATATCAAAGGTAGAGTGAGCATTGGCTGCCAACCACCTCATATAGTGACTTTTTACTTTTTTGCAAATTAAGAATAGGTCCTTCTTCTAGTCATAGAAACAGATTTTGGCAGGAGATAATAGAAATCACCTCAAAATTTTGCTTTCAATAACATGCTTGTAGACCATAGATGACAGACTCTCGCTTTGTCTCTTTTTGGCCGGATCAGACAACAATCTAATATCTACAGAGTAGCCTGTGAGCATTCCTGTTGGATAAGGTGAACGTGTAGGTTTCATTCCATATAAGCCAATCTTGGGTTTGTTTGCACACTCCTCCAGTCCCACCTCCACTAGCTTAAAACATATGTCAAGGTAAAATACAAAGCCATATGCAGTATGTCTGTATCTCTCTGCAATACATGCACATTTCCCAGTGCTTTATCCCTTTAGAGATCCTGCAAACACAGAACAATACCTGTTGATCTGCCAGAAATGTAATCGGCTCCTTAGTCCTGTTGTGGGCTGACAACACACAGTTTTTTGTAAACTAACTGTTGTCAGCCCTCCCAGCGCATTTTCCTACTGCTGAACCACTCTCAGACCTCTACAACATAAAGGCTAATCCATGATAACTAGAAATGCAAAATAGCTTTTTATAAGATAACACTGGAAGTCTGCACAAGACCGCTCTGAATTTTTGACAAGATCAGCAGGGTTTTTTTGCATTTATCAAACAAATAGAACAAAATGTTTCCAATGGTATATTTAACAAACCATTGTTAGGGTTTACATATGTTTTAACAGAAGCATTTGTTCAACGAACACAAAAGCTGTGTCTGCAGATACCAGGAGACTGTAATATCATGTGTATTTGTCCATCAACACTGAAGTTTATGACCTGAGTCTATGACCTGCTTCACAGCAGTGTTTTTCCTTTTCTCCACCTTTAATAGTCAGCACCACTGTCTATAGATCTGCTGTTAGCAAAGAAAGACTCCTAGAGGCTAAAAATATTTTAAATGAGAATGGAAAAAGCAACAAGAGATCCACAGCTATTCTTCTATTAGGAATCAAAAGGTAAATTTACAGCAAAGCTAATTTTGAGGCAAGACCCGGAAAAGACAATTTATAGCCTGTTTTCCAGATGGCTGCAACTTTGTTCAGACAGCCACTCATCCTTCCTAATGTCTGGGAGCTGCATCAGCACACTCTTGGGGAATGAACTGGTTAGGAGGGAGTGTGACTGTTTCGAGAAACCTGAGGTTTTCTTTTTCAACATTGCTACTGTACACTTTTGTCTAAGTAAACACTTTACTGGTTTTATCTCCACGCTTTAAAAAGACGAATTATCGTTTGCTGCACAGACATTACGCTCTTGTCTGAAGTCTATCTTATAAATCTCTCAAGCAGAAACAATGATTAGGTATTATGGAGATGGTAAATATTACCAATGACTATCCTGGAGCAGGTCCAGTATATACTGTATATGTATGATCTTATGGCTTCAAGGTGTGAAAGTTCATTTAAGAGCCAATGCATACATTTAAAACACTTTCAAAAAGGTAGTATTCACCAAAGACCTCAGTAACTCTTGTATATGTATGCGTTCTACTAGACTGCTACTTTCTGGGATCAAGCACTCTGTAACCGACACATTCTATAGAAAAAAGTGATGTTGAAAAAGTAACATATGAAATAGTCTGAGGTGATTACTTCATGTCTATTGTTTGATCCAAAAAAAGGTGCAAGAAAGACAAGGTGCACACTTGTCCTGCCCCTCTCCATGGGCTATAAACACACAACCCTCAGGGGTGTGCAGTTTGCACAGTCTAGCAACCATGTTTTAACATTTTTATCAAGAGCTTGAACGGGGCTGTTTTGGCTGCTTGAATCTTTGCATGTTAAAAGCAAAAGCAAATAGAGAGTACGTGGGTATCTGTTATGAATAGAGGCATCTATACACATTTCTCCCCTAGTAGCATTGAGCAAAAAATTATCCTTTAAACATGATGTAAGCATTAAAGGTCCATTCATCCTTACAAGTCCTGTCAATGCATTAATGCGCAATATGTCACACATTAACATGTGTGGTATTAAGGCAGGACATTTATTATGATTAGGCTGACATGCACTTCAATGGACAAAGTAATGTGCATGCACTTTAAAAAAAAATTTATTAGCACAATGCGTGGTATGTGGTGTGCTGCCATGCATTGTACATTGACAGTTACTGTAGAGTGTGTGATGGTCCCAGAATGACACCCCAACACACTGCACATAGAGCGATACATTGCAGTAACACATAGGATATATGAATAGCCCTTAAGTCTGATACAAACAAAAAGAAGTGTGTACAGATACACAGCATGAATGAGATCAATAAGCTTTGCAATAACATTTGTGCGCTGTATTGTGATAATAATAGTATTCTGGGAGGGAAAGCTGATAAAACTGTTTATATTATTCATTAATATTACTGTCTCACCTGAGTCCTTCATTGGGCAAAGAGCACACTGCATTCCCCATGCTTCCCCATATAAACAACAGCATTCTGTGTAAGTAGTCTGCCTGCCCACCAAGGGCTGACTGCACACATAATCCTCACTGAGGTCCTGCCAACACACATCTTGGAAAACATCTGTTTCTTCTGTAGGTTCTGTAAAAAATCAAATCATGCATTATTACTCAAAGATGAAGCTGAAGCACTGAATAAATATAAAGTTGTGATAACATGGCAGATATCCTTCCTAATACAAGACTAAAGACATAAAAAGAAAGTAATCTTGATTGAAAATAACGTAATAATATGTAGGCCAGTGCCTAAAGTGAAAATATTTTAGAGCAGGGGTCACTAAATGGCGGACTGCGGTTCTATCTGAAATGCGATCGCTGACTAGGTTATGGCTGGCTTTCAGCCAGCCATAACTCAGCGCAGGTCCCTGTTCCTCCTCAATCATTGGCTGCTGCATTCCTAGCAACCAATGACATCACCTTTAGTCCCCGTCCAGCATTAAGGGAGGACAGAAGAGTATCGTCTTCCGCCCTCCCTTGCCACCTGAAGTCTGCCCTGCCTCCCATCCCCTCTCAGCACCGCCTCCCACTTCCTCCCATCCCTGCCTTCTTCCTCTTCCCATCCCTGCCTGTCATCCTCTACCAGCTCTGTCTCTCCCCTTCTCTCATCGCTCCTCCCATCCACTCCCAGCACTGCCTGCTTCTCAAGCTCCACATGTGATAGCAGCATTTTAAAGGGACACTCTGATGAGGACAATTACTTATTAGTTGTCCCCATCAGAGTGCCCCCTTACATTAGCTGCTGTCTTCTGAGTGCCCCCTTACTTTAAATTCAAAAATAAGGGGGCACTCTGATGGGTATAACTAATTATTATTATATTGGGGGTCCCTATCAGCATACCCCCGTACATTGCTTGTCCCCATCAGAGTGCTCCCTAATTTTGGGTGTCCCGATCAGAGTGCCCACTTTTTTTGTATTTAATGTAAGAGGGCACTCAAATGTCAGCAGCTAATGTAAGGGGGTACTCTGATGGGGACATTTAATGTAATGGGGTATCTAATGTGAGGAGGCACTCTTATGGGGACAACTAATGGAAGAGGGCACTCCGATGGTGGCAACTAATGTAAGGGAGCACTCTGTAGGTGTATATATATATATATATATATATATATATACTGTGTATACAAAAACACATTGTTGACTTATTTCTACAAATGCTAGTTTCTTAGCTGTTGGGTTATAACAGTGGTTATAAACCAGTATGTATGTAGATCAGTCACAGAAACAGTCAAAGATCTTTACTGCATACTTGTTTGTTTCTGCAGCTCCGAGTATTGCAGCAAGATGAACAGTATGCTAGCTAGGCAACAAGCATTTTCCATTGTTGAGAGATCAACAACGGACGCCTTTATGGTTCTCTTATGACAAAATTCTTATATGTTCCTGAAACACCAAGTAATGGCATCATGGTCGTTTTTGGCAATGGTGCAGCCCAAAGAACAAGAGTTACATGTGGATGAAGAATACAAGAACTAAGAAAGAAGGTCATGTCTGTTATATGCAGTCTCAATGTTCCATTTTCACCATTAGATGAATGGCACTTTTTTGGATTTAGCTGGTAACATCTCTTGCTGAGGGCCTCTAGCAAACAACACAGCTGGGAAAATGACCACTGGCTTCTCTGTCCACAAAACAGGAATCCACAGATTGTTAAACATGGAAATCTATTTGCTATTCTTTCAACATTGTACTCTAATTTTACATGAAAGGATGACTATAAGTCACTCTATACAATTTCAGCAACTTACCAATTACATCCAGTGGTCTGATACACCTTTTTCCTGTAGCATCCAGAACCATGGGACGTGTGCAGAAACAGCTGTACGATCCGTCCGTGTTGATACATTCACCATCAATGCAACTGCTTGGGTCATCACATTCATTGTTATCTACATGTAGATAGGAATCGCAAAGGTATTAACAGCACAGATGTTGTTATTTCTAATTTTTATGAACTACTGTTATCTGAAATGGGAGTATTTCCTAGCAGCCCATTTCCACTGGACAGAGTCAGCAGTAAATCAGTAGCAATAAACCAGCTGTGTAAAGCAGCTGTATTTAAGTGCTTAGTAAATAATTAGATGAGGCTAAGAAACCTGATATAGTTGTGAAGGGGCGAATAAGCCATGGGATTCCTTTGTTGTGGCTTTAAAAATGACTTCTTACTTTCTGATACTTTGTTAGGTTTAAGGTATTTGTGCTTATCCAGCAAAACTCTCTCTAAGAGTTGCAGACGGATTAGCAAGTGGTCTACACTTGAAGACAGAAGAAGGTGGTTTTATGGAGAAAGTGTGGCGTTAGGTTTCATAAATTAGCTGGATAATCACCCTTAGCTATAAAAGAATTCCAAAAAGGACCTGCAAGTGAACTTTGCTGGTGTGAGCAATTCACCATCATTAACAAAATGGTTCATATTTCCAAGTCACTTTGATTTATAGAAATCCAAGAAAATCATATTTTTCCAAGGGTCATCATGTTCTTTCAACAAAGAATGTGATTAATCAACAGATGTTTTAAAAGAAAGAACACACAATAAATATATTGGTGACATTTTAAACACACTACTTCAATAATACTGTAATAGCAGGATAATCAGTGACTTTCACAAAAAATTCACAAAACGCAGCAGAAAAAAAGCCAAATGTACTGATAAACAGCTTTTAGTCATGTGGCAAAGTGGGTTCCACCTCTGCAAAACCAAACCTGTTGAATGCCAACACAATAAATGTGGTAGAAATTAGAGGTGCACTGAAATGAAAATTTCAAAGCCGAAATAAAACAAATTTCAGGCAGAAACCTAGTATGTTTACTATATCCACAATCATGAATGAACAGGAAGTGATGTAGATCACTCCCATTCATTCATAATTGAGGACACAGTAAACATACTCTGTCCTCAATTATGTACAAACAGTCAGTGATCAATGATCGCTGAAATGTTTGTACCTCTCTCCATCCTGGATCGGCTGTCACAGGAGGTGCGGGGAGGAGATCTAGATCTGACAGCTGACTCCTCCCCTGGACCACCGGCCGGCCTCCTGTGACAGCATTGAGGGCGGTCCCCACCCACACACTGCTCTTCAGATCTGTCACAGGAGGCTGAGCGGTGTTGGGAGGAGAGACGTCGGCCGCTCACAACCTCCTGTGACAGTTTCTCTCCTCCCCGCTGGGACACAGAGCAGTGACCTGCGGGGAGGAGAGAAGCACGAATGCACCGCTATTTCAGTGCATCCCTAGTAGAAATGTTACAGTATAGCTGTATACTAGCAGGTAAAAAAATTAAGGTAGAAAACTTAAATTTTTCCTGTTAAAATAATTTTATTTAGGCTCCATGTCAATCTTTAGGCTCTATGTCAATGATTCCCATACTAGCATCACCTCAGTCTGATGAAGGTTGAGTTGGAAGGATTGTGATGCATCCTCAGAAAGACTTAAACCCTTTGCAGCTGCTGCTCAAAGAAAATTACTTATTTTGTTCTTTATGCAAAGATTAGATGTCATTCTAACTATGTTTCTGTTTCAGGCAAACATCCAATATATCATGTTGTCTGTCATGACCACTGCTAACAGCTTTTTGTCCGGTCCTAATACCTGATACCTGACTGGAGCTAGGATATATGCTTTGCTTGATGGCTACCATTTTGGTACAACCCCCAACTTTATAATGTACACATATTGACAGCTGCTAGATACAAATTAGACTTACCAAAACACTGAAGCTTCACAGAATCATAATATGTGCCTTGTTTGCAGTAACACTCATAGCTTGCCTCAGTGTTTAAGCAGAAGCCATTTTTGCATATTTCTTTTCCAAACAATAGGCACTCATCAGCATCTGCGAAAGAGCCACAGATACATTAAAACAGGAACAATATTGTAGTATATCTACAAAACATTGTGAAGTTTGATATCTTGCTTGAACTATTGACACACAGTGGCGTAGTGGTTAGCACTTGTGCCTTACAGCACTAAGGGTCCCCGGCTCAAATCCCAGTATGCAAGGAGTTTACAAGTTCTCCCTGTGCTTGCGTGGGTTTCCTCCCACACTCCAAAGACATACTGGAAGGTTAATTGGTTCTTGTGTGAGATTGTAAACTCCTTGAAGCCAGGGACTGATGTGAATGTGCAACTATGCAAAGTGCTGCATAAATTGTTGGCACTATATAAATACCTGTAATATATAATAATTAATAAACAGAAAGTGCTAATCAGGATTTAAAATGATTCGTAAAGATAGAGAGAACTTACAGTTGGGGGGCGGGGGCGGGTACAGCTGGCTCTGCCTCTAGCTTTGGTTGACGGGAGGACGCTAGTTTGTGTCCTCCCGTTACCCTTAGGAGAATTATGGGGAAAAGCCCTGACCTCATAGTTCTCCTTTAAGCTTTGCTTAAAATGATAGGGTGTAAATAATGCCAAGTACAGGTCCCCTGGGGGTTGCAACAGGCATTTGCAACCATTGGAAACTTATCACATACAGTCATTTTACAATTTATTGTAGAATATCTGTGTACAGGGCACAACTTGTTTCTCTGTGAAAAGAAAGGAAGGTGGAACAGCCTCAATACACAAATTCAACCAAGTGACATAAAGGATGTGAGCAAATCCTGGAAAGTCAAAAGATGGGCAGATATCTCACCACCCATCATCCATTCTCATGAGACATTTTATCCTAAAAAGCCTTTATGAGTACCATAAAACAGAAATGTTACTGTCCTTAATAATTAAAATGATGATGTCATATGACAACTGATGCCAATGCAAATTTAAAGTCGAACTTACAGTTTTCGCACTCTTACAGTTTTCTCTCTGTACCCCTGCAAATTCCAGAAATGTTGAGTCTTGCCAGTAAATGCCACCTAATGTAGCTTCCTGTCATGTTGTGGTAAGGATGCTGCACTACTCCTAAATTTAGAGCAGAGCTGCCACTCTCCTACAAGCTGTGCCTGCTTGCACTACAGTGAGATAAAAAAATTGCAGGGAGCGTAGCTATCCTATCATGATTGGTTTTCGTTTTAGGGTTGAAGATAGATTTATTTCGTAGAGTAGAATGCGTAAAGATTTCATCTGGTTGTTCTCTATTTTGGGGGAAGTTAGATATTGCCGCAAAATGTCTCTTTATGTTTAATTTCCGCACAAATTTGTTTAAGTCAATAAAGGTGCCGAATTTGTCTAGATTTTTTATTGGAGCATATTTTAATCCCAGATCTAGTAGTTGGGTTTCTTCTTGTGAGAGGGTGATTGAACTTAAGTTGAAGATGCCTTCTCCTATTGTTCCCATCTTTGATCTCTTCCGTACTCTCTTTCCGCCCCTTGTCTCCCTCTTCCGAAAAACTTTCTTCCTCTTCCCCTGTACCCCCATATTTTTTGTGGTGGAGTATATACTCTCCTCTGATTCTGATACTGATACATTTGTTGCCCCCTTCTTTCGTGTCTCCAATTCTGCGGGACAAATCAATTGTGTTCCTTGTAGTAGGGGTCTTGCCACTGGGGAGCCCTCTCTTTGTGTCGTAATCCTAAAATGTTTTCCTTATTTGGGGTTTCTTGTCTTTGATTGCTCATTTGTTCTCTTTGTAAGTCTTCCAGGATTGGATGGAACCTGTTATTAACTTCAGTCTTCCTTTAAATTATTGTCCTTTTTATTTATTGTTGCCGATTGCCAGAATTTACCTGGTTTATAATTCAACCATTTAGTATCCACATTGTATTTTCACTATATGGCACACATATGCATTATTCATTAACTTATTTAACTTAACTTATTTCGTTCATATTTAACCAATCAGTTTTATATTTATATGACACGTGTATTTATTAACGTTCATGCACATATGCACCTTTGGATTGCATTTAGTTGCAAGTAGGATTTGATCACTTGTATTGGTTTCGTTTGTGGTATAAATATAGCACGTATCCCAATACCAAGCGCAGCACACTGGCTCACAATTGATCCTATCAGCATTGTCACTGCTAATTTACAAACCTGTAGCTTGTCAATCAACACCTGGCCACACCTCATCCTGCCCACTGCTCCCTGGATGACAGCACTCTGTTGACGAAACCCTCCCACTATGAGCTGCAGTGTCTGAAAGGGGGGAGCATAGGAGATACAAATGAAAGAGAATTTGACTCAGTCTGGGAACGTCAATTACGTTTTTTTGCTTACTTTATGAGGCCTGTGCATCACATAGTAACTGAATAGGGTACTTGTTTATACTGTCATACAGGAGCCATTAGTTGTACTTTAAGTATGAAAACAGATTAAAGAAAACAGAGCTAATATAGAGCTACTACCTTGAGCAACCAATTGGATTCATTGCTGCATATGAAAGATTATAACTATGTGCTACAGAACTGCACTGTTGCACATGTTTTCTTTGTACCAGTTTTGGAAAAATCAGGTCCAAAAAAGTCTAACCTTCATATGTCAAGCCGTTGCCCTCATAGAGTGACTCTTTCGATGGGACATAGCCTTTCCCTTCAGGGCACAGTAATGCATATTCATCTGCAAAAAAAAAGCACAACAAAAAAATTAAGTTATGAAAATTATGAAAATGCTATGCTTTTTGGGACTATACATATGTTCTTTACATAAATACATACCAGAAGCCAAGACTGGACAAGGGAACATCTCACAGGTATCTCCCCAAGCAGCTCCCAAAGTACAGCAGCATTCTTGTTTGGTGACATTTATAGTAAGAACATTCTCACAGAAATTGACATTATTAAGGTTATAGTAGCATTGCTTTTCTTCTTCATCATAATGCTCATCTACAAAAAAAAATGATAGAAGACACATTTCAAACAAGCGTGTACCTCAAAGTAGTATTAAACTCTCAAGTTTTTTTCAATAATGAATCCAGATCAAACAAATATACATTGCCCAGCAAAGCAGTGCTTTACTTTTTTGCCCAAATACTTACACTCACCACGTTTCTGAACAGCTGCTTCCAAGTCTCTTAGCTCAGCTTCCCTGAATTTCCTGTCCAGTACAAGATCACAAGGGACAGAGCAGACTCCTACAACTGTTCATCTACTAGATTGGAGAAGGGAGGAGATGGGACCAGGGGGGAGGGGAGTAGTTTTATTTGCTGCATCTGTGTGTTTTCGGAGACACGCGCAGCTCACTAGCACACACAAAGTTGCCTGCATAGCACTCTGTTTGAGAAAGGAGTTACTCTAAAACAGGAAGTCAAGACCAGTGGTCAGGGGACCAGCTGATTCTCCTGGAAACCAAAACTTTTAAACATCAAGGAGCAGCATCCATTGTAAGTGATTTCATCAGCATTTGAAATAGCTTAAACTCCTTTTGACTTTAATATCACTTTAATAAGTGGACTGGATATGGGCATTCAAGTTTAAGTATTTACATTGTGGCAGTGCATTACAATGCCACGGTGTAGTATGGCAACTTTGGCGCCCAGGACTCTCAGCCAGAGGGGCTGAGAGGTTCCACAATGTGAATACCTTTGGAGAGGAGGAACTGGCTGTTCAATTCCTTCCAGGTTTTCCAGACTATAGTGGGATGGGATCTCCAGTCCTGGGGCCAGGTGTTGACAGTTGCCAGGTTGAGCTGATAAGGTGGCTGAGAGCAGCCTTATTAGGAAGCCAGTCCAGTGCTTTAGGGAGAGTTGTGGGTGTGCAAGAGGCACACGACGACAGGCAGACTCTGCTGCGTGCATGAGCACAAGGTGACACAGCCAGGAAGGCTGGAGAGGTCCAGAGGGTTGGTGACCCTGAGATACCTGTCGGAGAGACAGAGAGGGACAGTGACCCACGAGGGTGAATACCAGAAGTCTTGGAGCTGAGGGAAGCTGCTGAGGACGGTATATATCCAGGGAAAGTCCTGGGACTATAACACTGGGAGTGTATGGGACAGCCAGATGTTGGTGAGACCAAAACATGATGTGTTAATGAGAGTCCAATGAACTGTTATGCTTCGTTTATGCTGAAGAAAAGCAAGTTTTTTTGTGATGTTCATGGACTGTTGACCTTTTGATGAATAAAGACTGTCCTTTTATGTTAAAGTCGGCTTCAGAAGTGGTCACTTAGCGCTTACCATTGTGCTATATTCCCCAAACTATCACAACATATACTTAACAGATTGTAAATGAGCTGACCTTACTTGACCTCTTTAGCTGCAGGCACTGTGGATCAATCAAACCTCAATATTTGTCAATATTCAGGACAGAAGCCCAGAGGGTATTCATGTTGGCTCTCTCAGCAGCTCAGCTCACTCTGCCCCCTCTTCCCAGAACACCTGCTCTGTGTTAAAATTAGAATGCTGCCAAGTAACTCCTGAGAGGTGGGATCAGGGCAAGCTGAACTTCTGCTGTGAAGTTTCAGGTTGAATTGTCACAGTGCCTGCCTGTTGCAGAAAAAGGTGAGTGCTAGTTTAAAGGCTTGTTTACTACTTGTTAAGAACGTGTAGATTGTTTAAGAAATATTGCATACTCTTATAAAAATGCTTTTGTTGATTTTTAGTTCATAAGCAGCACTGGATAGATCAGAATAAAAGCTCTTTTAAGCCTCACAACCCAAGCTCCATTACTTACAAGTTTCTTGGTAAGCACCCTAAGTGGCAAGCCGTGGCAATTGTCTTGTTTTGCCACTTTAGTAAAATGGGCCTTACCATGAGCATGAAAAAGGAAAGGTAGGAAACAAGTTGCAGTCTGGTTTAACCCCTTTGTGACCAAAATACGCCTTTTACAAATGAAAATTGCCCCCTGCCTTGAGTATGTAAAATAACCTTCCAGCAGAAAAACAGGAATGCACAACTGTGTGTATTACTAACTCTCGGGCCCGATGTCAAACTGAACATTTAGTCATAGTGTTAAGCAATGCATACTGAAGCTGCTTAACTTGGTCTGGGCATCTAAGATTCAAAACACTTTGCTCACGAAAAGGTTAAAGTGACAGTTAATTAATTTCGAAATGCATTTATTCATTTTAACTTTTGGTAAAAATCGTATTATACTTCACTCTGGCACAGTATTTAAAGTGGCACTAAACTTAGGAGTTAAAACTTAAAGATGCATTCAAGTACGTTAACTATTAACAAAAATGTATCTTATTTGTGTATCACTCAGCTGTAGATCCTCAAATCATCTCTGAATTGGTGCTGACGCTGTCCTTACTTCTGTAGGGTGTCTATTCCATGGCCTTGTGTGTTGTAAAGTAGCCATTGGTCCAAGCTTGCTCCCGTGATGGACTGCAATCTCAATACAAATTAATAAACTAAACATGAGATTGTAGTCCATCACCCTCCAGAAAAATGTTTAAGTTTTAACTCCTGAGTATAGTGTCACTTGAAACACTGTCCCAGAGTGATGTATAATACGCTTTTTACCAAAAGTTAAAATGAATAAATGCATTTCAAAAGTAATTTGTAGCTTACATAAAATACAAATTTAAATAACAGCCTGATATATCCTTCCAAAGCAAACAGGTCAACAGGTTGTTGTAGCAGGTGTTATTTTGAAGAGTGCCATAAAGAAATAGACTACTTAATTAGTTCTATTTATATTACAGAAATCACTGGAATGCTACCAACCAACTAACTGCAAATCAGCTCTCTTTTTCTTTTTATTATTCGTTTAGTGTTTTTATTTCAGACCGAACGCAGTTTATACAACAGGATCAGCAGAAGGGATTATTAACTTAGATACACAATTGGTGTTTTATAAATATGGCCAGTGTTTTTAACAAAATCCTTCTACCAAATAGGATATCTCAAATGTGAGCATAAAAAGGGTTGGTATATCTATTGTTGTGGGCACAACAAATCATAACTTTTTGTTAACTTTGTAATTACAATAAAATGTTTAATATGAATGAACAAAAGATTATAATTTATCACTGCAATTAAAAATACACAGTGAAAGAAGAGCAGCCACTTCTCTTTAGCCTGTCATAATGAGGAGGTATAAAATACAAGGTAAAAAAAACATCCGCTACCTTCCTATACTGCATGTGTCATTTATAGCTATGCAATGGTGAAGAAGGATGGGAGAATAGTTATCACTTACGCAAAATCATTTTAAGGCTAGACATGCATGGCCACTTAAGCCCCTCTCGAATCAGGCTGTACTGATGAGCTGACCTAAAATATCCCTGCACATGTTGTACTTTTACAGGGTTATTCACAAAAAGGTGAAGAGTTTGGAGAAGGTAGGAGAAGGGAACAATCTAGGACAACATAGCTGAACTGAAAAGTGATCTGAATAGAGAATTTTTCTAAATCAGCTATTTTGGTCTAGATTGTTCACTTCTCCTGCCTTCTCAAAACTCTTCACCTTTTTGTGAATAACCCTATTAGAGTTAACTGAACCATATACATACTGAAGATGTGTGTTTGTGTGCTACGTATACATTTAAATGGATCATACTGTGCTCAGCAAAGAGGGCAAGTGCAGGTGTACAACAAAGGAGAGATGTTTGTATGGTCTACTGAACCTTAAAAGCAGAGTGTGGTGGGGCTGTTGCAGGTTAGGTAGTATATAGGTGAGCATACAAATCTACAGCAGGACAGGCACAAACAACAAACTATTCTGTGTATCTAGATTAGGATATCTAGATACACACATCAAGATATTACGGGACCGTAATATACAGGGGTACAGGTACTCCTAGAATGAGATCCTAATAGGTTGGACTTGATGGACTAATGTCTTTATTCAACCTCAAATACTATGTAACTATGTAACTATGATATCAGTTAGTTTTGCACATTAGCAGTCCTACCAGGTTGCATGTGAATATTGTGAAAAATGTGAAATCTGCGCTTATGGAAGGGTTTAAGTGTTAAAGCTGCTGCCCTATAGTTTTTAACGACAATTAAATGAAATAATGAGTGTGCAGGGACGTTTCAGTGAGATAGATTAAGCCTTAAAGTGAACTATTTTTACTGTACAGTATGTTTGGCTAACCCATAGTGCTCTGGAAATCATATATATATTTAGCTAAAAACAAATATAAAACAAATAAAAAAACAGAATAAACTTGGAAAAAAATAAAACAGAACTGACTCAAACACCTTAACAATTTTTTTCTTTAATAAGTTACCTTATGAAATCTAAACAGGTCAATTAGAAACTATAGTAAAATGTTGTTTCCCTTTTGCTTACTGCAAGAAACAGCAGGTCTGTTATAACCATTTGTGAATTCGCAGAATTCCTGGAACACATGAAGGTGTTACGCTCTATAGACTGGATATCCTGTGAGAAGACAGAGGGTAATCCAGCTGACTGTGTCTGATAACAGGCTGTAATTCTGTTGGAGTGAACTCGGAGCACAAATACCCAGAATTCCTACCTAAGTTAGTATTACACTCTTTTTAGTGTAGGTTTTTACTGTTTGACACCACACATATGGTTGCCACCACACAGTCTAGGATTACTGGCTGATACTACACTACACATACTCTCAAATACTCTATGAATAAGGCATTTGGTGAAATACGTTAGAGTTGGAGGAGCCTGCGTGTGTTTACAGCATGTTTTGACTTTGGGAATAAACAGCATTCAGCTGTTAGTGCGGTAATTGTTTATCTGAGAACCAGTATCAAGCTGCAGTGTGCCCTTTTTTTGTCTGCACCGACAAGAGGGATGAGGTTGTGTGACCACAGGATAAGCAATATGCGCAGTGGCTGCTTTGTGAGTTTTGTTCCCAATAGACTAAAGTTGCGCTCCCCTCCACCTGAAAAACCCAGGTGGACCTGAATGCCACAAGAAAGGGGTTTAAGATGTTTGTATTATTACCGATAATGGGGA